AGTACAAAACCCCAGTACAAAACTGTAGATCACAAAATTCTACAAAAAACATCAATATTTGTTTTCCTATCCTATCCTAATATTTTTTTTTTATTGGGACAAGCCCGCCACAACCTCCCAAAACCGCTGCAACTCCTGTAAGCCAGGATCTACAGTAGATACAACCATGAAAACACCGGAACACTGAAGTCCGGCGCGTCCCAGGGACATGAGTAACTGTCTTGGTTCCCGCAACGAAGTGAATCAGAAGATATTATAAGAGGAGAAGAAGAAAAACTATGGTTTTCACTTCCCTCGGTGAATTACTGCAGGAGACAGAATGAATTAAGCCTAAAGGCACAAAGAAGAGACTGTACAACTGGGTGAAGCCCAGTCGCCAAGCACCACGGAAATTTGACTAAAAACTAAGTGGGTCCTATGTGTGAGCTGTTATACTTGCTTCCAATAATAGGTATGGCAAAAACGCCTAAACGCACGGAAATTCGTTCTAGATTCCACAAGGTCCGTATAATAAACTACACCTGACGAAACAATTAAATTATTTAACATAGTGTTACGTTCATATTGCCAGAGATCACACTCCCAGAGTATGTGATGGGCCGACTGCTCGTATCGCAACTCCTCTGTCGAACATTGGCACCATGGTGAATCAATAAGTTTAAATGAGAACAATTTGCCTTTAAAGTTGCCGTGGCCAGTAAGAAATTGGGCAACACAGTGATCCACCTCCAACCATGTCCTCTCCAGCCGCTCATGCACGGATGGAAAGAACTGATACAGGTGGCGGCCCTTAATAGAAGATGCCCATCTACCCTGCCATTCAGTTATAAGCTCATCCCAAACGTCCGTTATTGGCTTAAACAATCTTGCAATTTTATTTCTATCACGTTCTGCCAGAAAGCTTGCTGACAAATTAGGTCTCGCACTGTAGTACATAGCAGCACGTCGCTGCACCTCAAGATCTACCGGAAGTACGCCCGCGAGCACAGGTAGGGCTTCAGTGCTAACCGTCCTATAAGCCTTACACAGGAAAATCAAGGCTAGACGCTGGCCTTGAAGAAGTTTTCGCCGTACCGCGCCTATTGTGGCCCTATCAGCCCAGACAGGTGCCCCGTAGCACACGCATCCCAGGTAGGTTGCTCCGTATATGATCCTGAGCGTAAGAAAAGAGAGACCCCAGGTGGCTTTTGAAATTCGCGTCAGCGCATAGAAGTTTTTTTTGGCTTTCTCACTAATAGCCTTAATATGCTCAATGAAAGAAAAGTTTTTTCCAAAACTAGACCGAGATAGCAAACCGACTCCTTTCGTTTTACGGAAACGTTGTTAAATTTAATAGACGGCCACGACTTTAGATTTCCTTTAAGCAATAGCTGGTAAGTTTTATGGGGTGCAAAAGTTAAGCGATTTCGTTCGCCCCATCGCGAGATCCTACTGAGACAGTCTTTAGCCAAATTCTCCAGTCCGGCGCGGGTATTTGACTGTACTAGCAAAAGGCCATCATCCGCATATCCAGTCAAAGTACAGCCACAAGGAAGGGGAATCGCGAGCAAATCATCAAATCCTAAATTCCATAAATACGGACCGATAACCGAGCCCTCAGGACATCCCATTGATAAAGACTTCGACCGAGAACAATGACCAAGCTTCAGTTTAACGGAACCGTGAAGGAAATACGTGTATATTAATGTATTGTCCTATCCTATCCTAATATATTGGCTTTGAGAAGTTGGATCATTAGTTCAGTAATTTGGTAGTTCTACCTTGAATGTTTACTTATGTATATACTCTGAATGTTTTCCAGGAGTTTTGAAAATTGGGAATTTTGTAGATTTTATGTGCTCTTTTTGTTTTCCATTTTGCACCTTTGTACGTGTGCCGCCCAGTTTTTTTACAATATCTCTTTTCCTGTTCATTTTACTAGAAAAACATCAAGTATAAAAGTAAACTACTCACAATTTTCTACAATTTATGTCTCGACAGCTTTTATGAAAAAATACACCGTTTCGCTGAAAATCGCGAAGAACTCATTTTCTTGACCTTTGACCTCGTGCCTTTTTAGCACACATCGGTTCGATGACAACTTTTGAGGCTTCTTTTATAATCATGTTTTGAACAATTTTGCCAAGTTTCAGCTTCATAGAAATTCATGTAACCGTCCTCCTTATTTTAGGCCCAATCGACCGGATTATAACTAGACTTTCGTACTTTCGTGTGTTAGTGTAACACCTAAAATGCCATCCTTATTTCGAGATAAGTTGTTAATTACGGTTGTTAATGTTGGTTGGTATCGTGGTTACTATAATACCTAATAGTTATATTATACGAAATTATGAACTAAACTCACCTCTTCTTGCCGTATTATGTGACCTTGTGGGTACATTTTGCTAAGTTTCAACACTCAGTGCCCGCGACGCGTTTGTGCGTTTTCACTACACAACGCTATGTGCCGCCGACTCATATGTGCGTCCTACGGCGCGTCGTATCATTTAATTTAAATAAACTCACCTCTTGCCAAATAATGTGGTCCTGGTACTTTTTCTTATAAGTTTCAACACTCGTGCCCATGACGCGTTTGCGCGTTTTCACTAAACTACACAACACTGCACGCCCCCGACTCATATACGCGATTGAATACCGGTTTTTTGTGTAAACTACACAAACCTCTTGCTATATTATGCGACCCTAGGAATTTTCAATCTTGGTGCCCACGACGCGTTTGTGCGTTTTCACGACGCATAACGTCATCGACTCATATCCGCGTTTGAATACTGCATATCTAAGAACTACTCAAACCCTGATCCTCAATTCGCAAATTAACTCCAGTTCGTGGTCTGGATTTGAGTTGTAAGTAAGTACCTACCTGGAATATTTACTAAGTAGGTTCCTTCAATTGCCAACTCTAGATGGTTTATTAATTTTTATTTTCTTGCTGCAAAAACCAGCCTAGACCTAATACAGACAAGAAGACAAGCATTCGTTTTATAGTAGGTTCCTACTACAGCGGCCCATGTACGTCGCTGGAGCTGCTCAGACATTCGACTGACGTAAATACTAAGGCCGTCTACAGCTCCACAGATTTTATTATAACTAATTTATCTCATCGATTACGTCCGGTAATGGCCAACGGCTTATTGAATACGTCTTTTTGTGGCGCCTTTTTATTTGGAGATCGCGTCTAGAGCAGGCGGGCTCGCGGGACCCCGCCGCGATGGCATCCATGGAATGCCTAAAAGGTGACTCGTGGATAAATTACGGACATTTCTTCCATTTTAACGATTCCCTTTATTATTTAATTTATTTTTATCGTATGTTACACATTTGGCTTATAACAATGTTTGTTTTTGGGTTTCATTAGCATAAAGCTCACGCTGGGGTGGAAAAAAATGGAGGCTCGGTCATATTGGTTTTTCGATAGGATCTATTTTATGTTATGATGGGTGTTATACGTTAAAGAGCTTCACGTGTCTATAAGGCAGATAGTGGGATGTCTCAATTTAGTAATTTGTCGGTTTTTTATCATATCGGGGATGTGACATAATAAAACAATAAATTTATGGTGGCTCGTGGAGATGATTTCGATCAGATGACCACAGGCGCGCGCCTCTCCGCTGGACGTTAATTGTTTTATGAAACGAGTAATTTTTATTAATTGCTCTTTGATGGGAATTGTACTGGGAATTATCAAACATTGTTTCCATGCGGGACCTGTCACTACGTGTCATGTTATTTATTGTGTTAGATAGATGTTACGCAATATCTATTTAAGTAGCTACCTACCTACTTACCATATTATTATTATGAAACAAAAATACACACAGGCAGACCAAACTTCATCTAAGTATATAAAAACTGTCTTGCAATAAAACTGGACAATAGTTGGTCATACTTTTGTAATGCAATGAATCAAAAACAATACAGTAACAGCTTGTTTTGTGCGGAAACAAGTAACAGCTGTAAATCATGGAGACACACACAACTATAGTTATTTATTAGGGGTCATTTGTATCCCCAAATACCTACGCAACTTACTTATTATTTGTTTTTAAATGATTTACTGGTTTTAAGTTTTAAATGAAGTCTTTAAATAATTGTGAATCTGTTTCCTTTGTTATCTTGTAGGTACACGTTCTATGAATTCGTTTTTTATTAAATTGAATGGGTTTAACAAAACGCTAAGTAGAATAATTCACAGCGACAAAAAAAAAACAAAACATTTTTTTTTATAACAAAAAATATAATTTTATTGTCTATTGTTTATAATTAAAGTACAAAAATAAATAATTCTAAATCATTATCACTGGTTGTTTTAACATAATTATGGTATCTGTGTAGTCTAGATATACCTATTTTGATTCAGTTAGGTACTATCTATTAGAGGCACATTAACACAACTTTTTACTAACAAATAGGCATAACATTTTTATAGACCTGGGTGATTACTCTTGAAACCAATCTCAATAACAATGCAATTTCAATCCAATAAAATCTCAATTATTATTCAATGTCAAAATTATACAACCCTTATCGTAGCTGTTACAATAGCATTCAGGGTACGTACGAATGTGAAGCCAAACTCAATACCATTTAGTTTATTAAATATACACGCAATACGGATGCAATGGGCGCTAGTGTAGCAATTCAAGAGTACGAAATTTCACAATACCAATGACGATCGATCGGAATTCAATTCAAGAGTAAGCCCCCTGATTTCTTGTACCCACTTAATATTATCGGTTTTATAAAAGGTGTTCTATAATTCTATAAGATTTTTATATTTTTTATAATTATTTCTTATGTAAGGATAAGCACAAAAAATTTCATCACAATCGATCAAGCCGTTTCGGAGGAGTATGGCAACGAAAACTGAGACGCGAGAATTTTATATATCAGATAGGCATTCTAGACACATAACTTTTACTTAAAATACCGTAAAATGGGGTGAATAGGGATCGAGAGGTGATAGGAACAGAAAAGCGGTGAATAGGAAGATATAAGGAAATTCTTCATAGTATCGATTCACCCCTCTTCTGCCCCTTTTTGCCGTTCTAACCCTATTTACCCCATTGTACCGTATATAACTTAAGTACAAAACATGGTAGGTAACTATTTAAGTAGGTAGTGTTTTTATATCACATTTAATTAGGTATACATAATTATAAGTAAGTATTAAATGCCATAATCTACTTCTAATTATTCATTATCTGTTTGTTTAAGTGTTGATTTTATTCAAGCGTTCGCAACTTACATATAAAAAATTAAATAACTGTATTTATTAGTTAAACTTAATTTATCAAATTATAATACAAAAATTAAGAATAGGTACTTAGTTATTACAATATTAGGGTCTGTTTCACAAATCGCTGGTTAAGTAGTTCCTAGCTTACTTGGTACATAATTGTGTTTTCCAGAGCACGGAATGTGTCAAAATAATTTGTCAGATATGCTAACAGTAAAGGTCCTAAGTAACCTAACAAGGCTTCGGTACGGCTCCCAACCTAGCAATTAACTTGTTATTTAAATATGAACTTTAAACGTTATGTCGTATGACATATTTTATAACATTAATGGAAACGGTAAAAAACCGTTTTGTTCTGTCTCCAAACACAAAACCCGTACCGGACCCGTGTTTCCTAGGTGTAGGATAACCTTTACTGAAACAGACGTTATGAAATAGACCCTTCATAATAAATTTATACTTTCTTAGAAAATACTTAATACAGCTTCGAAGCTGAATTTATAATTATTTATATGCAGTTAAACCACATAATTTAGGAAAATTCTTTTGACTTAAGCACACATACATAGTGAAATAAGCTGTGATTCACCCCAAGACCTGTTGGGCCAGGCAGTGTTTATTAATAAGTACCTACATAGTATATAAAATATAATACACAATTACATATAACAGGTTTAATGTTCAGAGGTCAAAAAATAAGCACAAGTTTTGGTATATAACTGCACAAACAATCGCCTCTTTGAATGACTGAAATGCGATCTCCAACGGGTGGTCGCGGCTCCGGCTCGAAGAGCAGAAGTAGGAACGGGGAGGTTTCTAGTCAGTAAGAGTCTGGCACTCCCTCTCGCCTAACCCAAGGCGGGAGAAGTCATTGAATGATTTTCTCCCCATAAAAAAAGTCAAGAATGAGGATTAAGATAACCCTTTAGCTTTGGTCTGCAGTGGACATATTCCGACTGATATTTATTTAAATAACACTACAGGGTGCAAACGGAACGCTACCGAGCGGACAGGTGATGTTAAAAAACAAATTTTATTTTCATATAAGTAAGGAATAAAATACTTCTTTTTATATAATAATAGTTGTAATCAATTGCTCAAGGCTGATGTCGCATGAATAACACGAAAATAAAAATAAAACTAATAATTATGTGTTTGGGATTAAAGCTCGTAATATGACTGATGGTGATGTCTCAGTGGTTTAACTTCCATTATAAATGTTTGTTCCTGTATATACTTAAATGACTATTAAAGTATTTTTATTTTCTGAAAATATATAAACCTACTTACCAATACTTATATGAATTGTATGCTTCAAGGCAAAACATAGACGGACTCGCTGTATTGCACTGTATGCCAATTTCATTTCATTTCAATAAAAATTGTAAGAACAATTTGTTTTATTGCGTTTCGAGAGCGTTCCATTTCTACCATGTAGATCGTGTAACAATATAAATAAGTACCTAAATATAAAATATATACACGACTCAAGCGTATCCTCTCCTATTTAAGTTGTAGTACAGTCCTTTAAGTTCGAGTAGTTCACTATGTGTCCCCATCTCCGCGACCTGTCCGTCGTGGATGACGCAGATGACGTCAGCGTCTCGGACTGTACTGAGTCTGTGAGCTATCATCACACAAGTACGGCCTGCCTTGGCTGCGTCTAATGCTTCTTGTACCACCTGGATGGAGAAAAGTTTTATAAGTACTACCTTCGCTTACCTTCTACCAGCGGTTTCGTGGAATAAAAGGAGGCCTTTGTGTTATGCCAGAACATAATCTACCCCTGTTCCAAATTTTATCTCCATCCTTTCAGCCGTTTTAACGTAAAACCGTTTTGACGTAACAAACACACAAACACACACACACATACTCACAAACATTCGCATTTATATATATAGCTAAGTACACAAGGATTTTGTTATGTGTCGTTGGTGTTTTACAAACACATAATTTTCATATCAAGATTAGGAACAACAATTTGTAAATCACACAAGGATTTGTTTTGTGTTGTGAGGGAGTCAAATCCCCGACATGTTGCAGTTGCTCAATATCCTGTCTTACAGCTAGGACTTCAATCACTCAGATAAAGTAATGGTTTTTGTATTCCTTACAGTAAACTAGTTGCTAAAGCTTGCATTATACATGAGTGTGGTTATAGGAGCCCCCCCCCCCTCATACAAACGCACTTGTAACTCCTTTGCAAATAGCTTCACTTTAAGTTTTTTGTTGTAATTGAAAAGTGCCTTTCTAGTCTAATTGAAATAAATGATTTTGACTTTTACTTTGGTATTGCGCTGCCGGTCCGTGGGTTTTCCATGGGAGGTACAGATTGCTTATCATCAGGTAATGTGTTCGTTAGCTCCATATCTCATTAAAACATCAGTTGTCCATACCTTTTCGCTCTCAGTATCGAGTGCGCTGGTGGCCTCGTCCAGCAGTAACATCTTGGGTCTCCGTATGAGAGCGCGCGCGATGGCCACTCTCTGCTTCTGTCCGCCTGATAGCTGCGTGCCTTTAGCACCGATATTTGTGTCATAGCCCTGTTGGAGGAGAAAGTTAAATTATACTAAGTACATTCACATTGTTCATGTGCAAGAGATCAGGTGATCAGGTGGTAGTAGGATGGTACAGGCGAGTCATTTTTTTTTGAGCGGGGAAAATCATCCAATTACTTCTCGCACCTTGGGTGAGGCGGGAGGGAGTGTCAGACTCTTACTGACTAAAATCCACCCCGTTCCTACTCCTGCTCTTCGCCCCGGTAACCCGTCAGACCTTCCGCTGCTCCGTATCGTGCATAAGCCCTATTGGGCCTCATCTGTGGCGGTCTGATGGCTCTTTGAGGCGATTGCGGAACGCGACGCGCCGTACGCACGGGTTGGTTCTGGACGGCGAGCAAGGGTAGCTAGCAGTCCGCAGACCTGCACTTACCAGCTCTTTAGGTCCTAAGACTGGGATTCTAGCTGCCCACACAGTTATTACAAAGATGGTGTGACAGTATCACGTGCTGCCGTGTACAAAAAGGCTTTATGGACATTTATATCTTCAAATGTATCCCCATCCACTTCAAAATTAATAAGTTCTTAATCAGCGTGTTTAGGGCTAATGCTTAAGAACAGTATAAATAAAGTGTAATATTCAGTCAGGCAGAATACACTAAGAGACGTTCAGCCTAGTTCTGGAAACTTCAGGACTATGGTTTTGATGACAAGGATAATGATCAACCACTTACCAAAGGCAGTGAAGTGATGAAGTTATGTATGTTAGCCTGTTTGGCTGCCTCGATGATCTCGTCGTTGGAGACGCGTGCCTCGTTGTTCCCGTACGCGATGTTCTCCCCGATGGTGCGGTCGAACAGGATCGGTTCTTGTTGCACGAAGCCTATCGCCCGACGAGCGTCTACTAGCTTCAGCTTCGGAAGTGGTACGCCGTCTTGAGCCTGGGTATCATTGAGTAATAGAAATGTGTATTAGCTTAACGATTCGAAGAATAAAAATTGACGTGCTCAGATATTTAGTGATTATTTAAACTATTCCTCATTCCTCAGTAATGATTTTGTTCCGAAAACAATTGCTAAGGACTGGGTTAAGTAACCATTGAATGACTCCGCGTACCTCAGTAAGAGTCCCTATTTGCACACAAATGGCATTAAACATACTTTTTAACGACTTCATAAAAAGGAGGAGGTACTATGTTCGAATGTTTGTTATGTAATGGTAAAACCTAAGGGTTAAACTGATTGGATTTTTTTTGTAGACAGTTGTCGTAAACCTTGTGTTTGAAAATCGTGATAAATATTTTAATATCCTTGAGCACTAATTAGTTGAAACTTCTGACTCACCACAATGCCGTCCTCAGGATCGTAGTATCTCTCCAACAGTTGTATGACGGTACTCTTCCCGCACCCACTAGCCCCCACCAGTGCTACAGTCTTCCCGCGCTGTATCTCCAGGTTCAAGTCCTTCAGTACTCGCACCAGAGGCCTGGTCGGATATCTGAACTGAATGGCTTGGAGACTCGCTTCTCCTGTACCGTTCTGTACGAAGAGATGCAGAAGAAAATGATTAGTACAATTATTGTGTGAGCAATGATATGAACGGAAAAGGTGTTTGATATAATTATGATGACGTCTGATAGGAAAAAATAGAAACAGAAGACATTTTAGTGATAAAAGAAAAAGATAATGGACTGGCATAAGACAAGGCGTGATCGCTGTTCCCTATTGCTTGTACGGCAATTATGTAACTGGTAAAAATAAGTCGTACTTTGGAAGTCGTAATAGGCGTGTCGACAGGGTAAAAAAATCAAAAAAGTAATTAGTCCGTCATTAAGATCGCACGAAAATATCAGACACGTATTTTTTGTTTTATCAAATTAACAGAAGAATACGTAGTTATTCCGCATTAAAGTTAGGGAGTGGGGGGTGTTGACGTCACACTTACGGAGAAATCGTACCTAATTGTGACGTCACGCGTCATTTTAACTCAAAATATCTACATGTTTTTTTGGATACGAGAAAAAAGAAAAAATACGTATCAAAGATTTTTAAAATATCTAAAAGACGGACAAAAAATAAAAGAGTAGTCGCCATGCCTATTATGATGACGTCTGATAGGAAAAATTAGAAACAGAAGACATTGTAGTGATAAAAGAAAAAGATAATGGAGTGGCATAAGACAAGGCGTGATCGCTGTTCCCTATTACTTGTACGGCAATTATATAACTGGTAAAAATGAGTCGTAATTCTGTTCATTACAATCATGTGTAATAAATACCACTTACAAAGTGTTTGACAGCAGGTTCAGCTGGGTCAGTGATCTTGGACTGTCGTCCCAGTAGTACGATAACACGGCCTGCCGCCTTGATACCCTTCTGGAAGTTGGGAGCGAAGGCAAACGCCTGCGCCGCTGACGTAGCACCCATCAACAGAGCTTGAGCTGACCTATTGGACGAATATTAGGATTAGGATTAGGATTAGGACCTATTTTAGTATTATAATCCTCATCAGTCATGTTTGATGACTGAGTTTGTTCGTTTGTTACGCAGTGCCAATCATAACTTTGAGCCCCAGCTAGGCTTGAAATCAGTTGAGTTGCCTCGTTCAACAATTACACGAATAAGTAAGAGTTAGAAAAACGTAATCATTAATTAATAAAAAAAATATTGGCTTTTTAGCTATTGTTTATTGACTTTTCCTACTAAGCACTCCAACGGTCTATGTATGTATGTATGTATGTACATAATATGTACTTGTATCTCCAAATTGGGAAAAGACGTTGCAAACAGTATAAGTAAGTATAAGTAAGTAAAGTATAAGTATACGTCTACGTCAGCGTCAGTCAAGGCAAATAGTCTACAAAACTTACTTGAAGACTTGTTCGAAGGGTACGCCCTCGTTGACGATGATAGTTCCACCGTAGTACAATGAGCTGGCGATGACGAAGTTGAACACTCCTCGAGACATGCCGAATACTAAACCGCGCCAGTGAGATGTACGGATGGCAGTGTCCAGCGCTGGACGGAGCTGCTTCGAGTACTCACGACGGAAGGTCTCTTCACGACCTAATGAGGCTACCGTTCGGACGTTGGCTACGGCTTCTACGGCTATCTAGAATACCAAATCAGTGCCCAATAAGTATAATTAGAATAGTCACCTCCTCGTGGGGAGTCGCAGGACAACTGGTAACGGCCTACCAAACAGCGCAGCAGTAGTGCTCTCTGATCAATTCGAAACTTTTAAACATTATCGTTAACTCTTTTAAACTGAAGCATTGGAGATTATAGCAATCATAGCATGTATGTATGTTCTCTAAATTCATCAAGTGTGGGAGAGTCTTGCGTCAGCACGATTGGGCCGGCTCGACCGGAGTGATGAAAACACGTCGTGTGATTGAGGTTACCGGAGGCCCAACTACCCCACCCCCTTCCCTCAATCCCTGTATCTCCAATATTCTTCAAATTCGTAATCCTTAAAAAGCCGGTAACGCACTGGTAACGCTACTGGTATTCCAGGTGTCCATGGACGACGCCGATTGCTTACCATCAGGTGATCAGTTAGCGGCTTATCCCATAAAAAATATTCATAATCAAAGTCCAGCAGTGGGCTGGACACGAGCTAAGAAGAAAAATGCTAGTTAGCGTATTTCTCTATTTCAAAGAAAATGGATACCACTTTTAATACTAAACAAAATATGGATATTTACCTTAGAACTAGTCTCCATGACCTTAACAGTGCCAGAGGTAGCGATATAAGTCATTCTTCCTTCCTTGTAGAGCACGAATATGATGATGGGCACGAAGGTCAGGGCCACCAGACCCACTCGCCACTCGAAGATCAGTGATAGTACCAGAGCGAAACCAAATGTACCAACTGCTTGTACCACTGTACCAATCCTTTGACCTGTAGCCTGGTGGAAGGGAGAAGAAACTCAGGATATTAACCGGTTTCACAAAAACAAGGGGGTTCTCAGTATAACCTGTGTGTATATATTTGTTTGCGATTACCTCGGGATTAGCTAAACCGATTTTAACGGTTTTCAGAAAAGTATTTCTTAAAATTACACTTTTTTTATTGGGGGAAAATCATCGAATGACCGCTCCCGTCTGGGTGAGGCGGGAGGGAGTGTCAGACTCTTACTGACTAAAAGCCACCCCGTTCCTTCTCCTGCACGTCGAACCAGATCCCCGGTTACCCGTTAGGTTCTCCGCGACGTTACAATTACACTAAAGGGTAACATTTTAGTATATTAATTTACCAACTTCAAAAAAGGGGGTTGCAGTCGGTTTCTATTAAACGTAGTTTATAAAAGAATTATTTAATAGTTTTTTTTAATTTTGTAGGTGACAGCATGAATGCAAAACTAAATATGTATGCAGTTGTTTCAATATAATCGAAACTTTTTTTTTCTATTATGCTAGAGGTATATAATAGTGAGAATTAGTACATAGAACGAGAAGTTTTTAATCAGGTTAGTCTCATACTATCTCGCTTCACCCTGGATGGGAGGAGGAATAATATAATGGTATCTCTTCTCAAAAATAAAGGTATCCTCACCCCTTGCACGGCGGCGGCCTCCCCAGAGAGTCTAGCACAGAGTGCTCCAGTAGCGTTGTCCTTGTCATCATAGAAACCAATGTCCATTTCCAACATCTTCCTGAACATCATCAGTCGCAGCCGTTTGGTTAACGCTTCACCCGCTATTCCGTAGAAGAAGACCTGGAATTCACAATAACTTGGTGTAATTGGTATCTTAGTGTGTAATATATATCAGGAATAATAGTTTAATAGCTAAAGTATTCAGAACATTCATTTCTCAATTTTGGAATTTTGGGGAGGTAATTATCTACTAAGTCTGAGCTGCCAAGGGTCTTAAACTGACTATGACCCGAGTGCGGGGAATGTAAATAGGTATTATACAAATGTATAGGAACAACTTACCACAATGAAGTTAGTAATGCCAGAGAACACACCGATGCCAACAAATATCAGCGACAATCGAGTCACTCCTTTTTGAATTTCATCTTCGTCGTCACCGTCAAGTAACTGAAACAAATACACAATTTTATATTCTAGGAAAGATTGAATTGTTTAAACTGTCAAACACCAAGCGGTCACCGGTGACCGCAACCTATTGTTCTATAATTGTGTCTACAAAACCGGTACTCGACGAGTTAATTAGAATAGGGTACGAAACTACGAGACTGATTTGATAAATAAAAAACAATCGTGGACGACGATTTCAGAAGTGTGAATCATACAAAGAGCTAAATATCGAGCTCAATATCGTAGAACATAGAATTCTGTGTCCAATACAGCCGACGAAAACGGACTGTTAATGCAGGAAATGTAGGAAGAGGTTTTATTGTCCAATCACAGCAGCTACCAAATTAAACGACCAATGGTGTGACACTAGCTAATTCCCTATTGGACGAATAACAAGAGGTTCACACTAGCGCCATTTGATATCCTGTTATTGTTCGAGGCCCGTGGCTAATTCATCGGTTGGACCCTATTTGCCTATCACAGAAAAGTTCAGATGAAAACTTCTGAAGGGCTCCTTTCAGCTGGGGACCTGTGACATTTTGCTGACTACCCACCCTGTAGTACGACACTAAGTGGACTCTTATCTACGCATTGTTGATAAGTGAGTAAGGTAAATATTACCGATAGAAAGTCTCCAAAGATGACAGCGAACAGTGGCATGCAGAAACCGCTCATAAGTGAACAGATGCTGGCGAGGGTGACAGACTTCCACTCCGGCTTGTTCAGCTTCAACACTCTCCAGAATGAAATGTCAGGGGCTTGAGCTGCGTCCTCTTCTTTGTCCTGGATACAGACGAAAATGTATTGTATGTCTAAGAAATTTTAGGTGCGTTATTCATTGTTTAAGGTGGAATGTCATATTGTTGAATGTATTAGTCACTTTTGGACAGTTATGCTATGATATGAACCCCATATAATACAGGGTGACATTTCTAGTCTCCATGCTGAGGGCATTAAAAATCTCAACAACATTTTGCTTTTGAAAATTAAGGGATATTTTTCACCGGGACACGGTGGCGGCGCAACCATTTCCATTTCCACCACAATCCTCAAAAGGTCACGGTAATGCACTTGTAACGCCTCTGGTGTTTCAGGTGTCCATAGGCGGCGCCATTAATTAACCAAAGTATACTCACATCATTCCGGAATTCCAAGAACTCGTCTTCATCATCCTTCTCACTGATTATGGAAGTCTCGCGAGACAATTTAGTTTTTTCTGTAAAATATCAGTGTCAAGTTTAGGGTAAAGGAGAAATCGTTAATTCGAAGTGTTGTTTCCTAAAAGATCGAGATCAAATTTAATTAGTTTTTTTATGCGAAAACCTAACTACAAGAAAGTACCTAGTCCTTATGTCTTAGGAAGTAAGTCTTGTCTTGTCAAACAGTAAGGCTAAGGACTCACGGCGCGATCTTCTGCGCCCGCCGCGATTGCGGAATGAATGCGGAATTTTCAAATCTCACGAGACCGCACTTGTCTGCCGCACCGCGGCCACGCCCGTCGTTGCAGCGGGAGCCGCAAACAATGGATTTATTTTTTTACACACATGTCTGTATTCTACAAAGGCTGTGCGCCCGCAATCGCAGTGGGCGAGGGAGAAAATCATGCCTTGAGTCCTTAGCCTAAGTAAGAATTAGTCTATCAACTACAAAAACACAAATCAATGAAAATTATAGAAAGAGTATTTAATAATTACCAGGCGACTGGTCATCCATTCCGAGGTTCTGCAGCATCACCATATCGTAGTAGTGTCCCTTACTTGCCATCAGCTCCATATGGTTCCCACATTCCACCACTAGACCAGCCTTGAACACGTATATCACGTCCACGTTCCTGATTGTGGATAGTCTATGAGCCACCACTATTGTTGTGCGACCTTCTTGTGCCTACAAGATAGATATCTAATTAATTTTATAATTAGACTAAACATCCCTGTAACATTATGCGATAGTCGTTAAAAAGATTAGTAGGTAAAGTTGATTAAGGGCTCCGGTTGAGTTCGAAACCAGTCGAGCCCCGTCGTATTAGAACGAGTTCAACAAGTGCCAATAGTACCATGAATATTGAACTCAAATATAATCTTATAATCTGTTTCAGGAGTATTATAGAATATTTTTTATTAGTACCTAAGTATTTATGTTTTAAGATTTTCTCTTACCTTATCAAGTGCTTTCTGTACTTTGGCTTCGGAGGACGTGTCAAGGGCACTGGTAGCCTCGTCCAGTAGCAATATCTTCGGGTTCCGGACTAGGGCTCGAGCAATGGCAATACGTTGTTTCTGACCACCTGACAGTGACGCACCGCGCTCTCCCACCAGTGTATCGTAACCCTGCCATTGTGTAATTTACATTCAGATTAAAATTTCCCCATTCCCCGAATCCTACAAAATACTAAAATTTTCAATCCTCAAAAGTATGGTCAAACGCACTTGTAACGCCTTGGTGTTTCAGGTGTCGATGCGGCGCCGACTGCTTACCATCAGGTGATCCATTTGCTCGTCTACCGGCTTATGTCATAAAAAAGTTATATTGAACAGTTTGTTTTCAATGCTATAAGTAATTTAGAGAAAATTTGTTAAGGAAGTGTGTCTTTATGATGGCTTTACAGACAGTGCAGTTTACAGCAGCAAAGTTCAGGTTTCAATACATTTTTGGGTAACAATACTACAATCCAATTTGTCTTGAGCAAGTATGGTGTTTTTCGAAGAGGAATAAGAAAGTCTTCAGGACCGTTTATGGAGCAGTTCAAAGGCTGATGTCTTGCTGATTGTTTTGTTTGAGATCAAAATTATTGGACAATTTTGTTGCTTATTTTAATTGGACCTTATAATATAGAACTTACCTTCGGGAGCTTCATAATAAACTGGTGTGCATTAGCTTGTCGGGCGCAGGCTTCTATCTCCTCATTGGTGGCATTTTCACGTCCATAGCGAATGTTTTCCCGGACGGTAGTGTTGAATAGGACAGGCTCCTGGCCTACTAGACCGATCTGTTCTCGGAGCCAACGGACTGATAGGTCGCGGACATCATTACCGTCGATTGCGACCTATAAATGTTTTGGATCAATTTGGAGGGATTGCATATATTTTAATTGAAAAATTACATTTCGGGTACTACAATTGCTAGATTGAATTTCCGTGTTATAAATAGAATAGGTAATAGGTGAAAATGGATACTATAGAAAAAATAATCAGTCAATTGCAAAATTAATTGATGACAGAGTCTCTGGTATCTGTAGTTCTTAATATTCTATTTGTTTAGATACTACAATGGTGTAATTAGATTACTATGGTAATAAAGTTATAGTAGTATATTATATTTCATGAACACACGTGGATTAGATTAATCACAAAATGGCCGACGAAACCCTTTCTGTTATTGCGTCAGCCAATCTAATTTTACCTACATCTAAAGTTTATCAGTCTACGCGTATTCAGTGACGAGATATTAAAGTTATTATTACTTTCTATACGGTTTTTTATAGTTGCTTAAAAAATGTTGTGTTCAAACCAATAGTATTTTATTCGCTAGTGGCGCCTCCTAGCCAGCGCAAATATTGAACAGAAACACACAATTTATAGCAAAATCGACTTACACTTCCTTCGACGACGTCGTAGAATCTGGAGATGAGTTGTATGATGGTGGACTTGCCACATCCTGAGTGGCCTACCAGTGCTACAGACTGACCACGCTTCACCTTTATGCTTACACCTTTTAGTACCTGCGAAGGATTTGTCATTCAGTTTGGTTCGGAAGCTTGCATATCAAGCGTATCTAATCAATCCTCTTTGAAAATTTGTTAATACATGATATTTGTTTATTTACACTTTGCAACAACACTCATAGAGGCAGAAACAGTGCATCCCTAAAACACTAATGAGTTGCATATAAGATAAGCTCCAGCATGTTTTACTAGTACACCCTTTTTTTTTTTTTTTTTTTTTTGGGGGGGAAAATCATCCAATGACTTCTCCCGCCCGGGTGAGGCGGGAGGGAGTGTCAGACTCTTACTGACTAAAAACCACCCCGTTCCTACTCCTGCACTTCGAGCCGGAGCCGCGGTAACCCGTTAAGTCTTCCGCGGCTTACTAGTACACCCTAGGATGATGAAAAACAGGTTTAATTGGTAACAATTACCAATAAGAGAAATATGTAGCTGTAAATTATATATCTAGGTTATCACGCCTAGCTAAATGATAAGGCATTAAGTCTTACATTTTCTGCAAATAACAGATACTACTATAATAGTGTTCCAAGAAGTATGTAACTGTATCTAATGAGTAATTATAAGGTATGCCATATGGCTGTATACCTTATATTAAAGTGATTCAAAACTCAAATGTGATTGCTATGCAAGAGGTTCCTATTATTGTAATTTTGCGGATCGGGCAATCAATATAGTTTTATAAATTGTTACGATTTGTGTCGCGGTGACGTCAATTGATTCGGATCAATTAATTTAATTTGATATCTGGTTGAAGATCTATAAATATAATGTGGGAGATTAGTGAATATTCCCGAAATGATGCTTGTTTGAAATCTCCTGCCTCTTGTTAACATCGTACATAAAAATCTTTGATTTAGATAGGTTTGTCAAATTCAGCTAAAACAATAAATATGTCGGTATTTACCAAAGATTATATGCCAAGAAAATAGGCAGTGAATCATAAAGATAATAGTATAAATAAAGGACATATTATCTGCATGAGTTGCGAATTTTTGAACTCCGATCACACTTCTAGTGAATGAAATTAACAGGTGTTTAGTGATAACACAATATATTTTTAATCGTTCTAAATCGATTGGTTTATTATTTTAAGGAGCAATGAATAATGGATCCATACCATGGGGCTGGATCCATAATTACCTAGTTAAAAAACTGAATCAGTTGGGGGAATAGGGTAGTTTCCAGCATAAGAAAATTAAAAATCGAATTAGTCCGTCAGTTGGGTAATGAAAAAATATTAGACACGTATTTTTTTATAAGTTATAATACTTAAATAAAATGGAGTTAAGTTTAGGAGTGGGAGGTCGCTACGTCACAACGTGCTACATTTTGTAACACGCTGTGACGTCACACGATATTTTAAATCAATATATCGTCGAAAGCATTTACCTAATTTTATGAAAAAATAAAAAATACGTGCCTTATGTTTTAAAATAATCTACCAGACGGACATTAAAATAAAATTTAGGAAACTATCCTATTATATTTGTAGGTAAAACACAAGTTTTAGAAACACTCACGATCATTATTGGATTGAAGAAGAGCTAAAAGTATAAAATAAATCATTACCAAATATTTTAGTATACCGGCATTATTTAATTGCCTTATGAACAAAAATGATGATAATAGAAATTAATTTATCAAAAATTTGGCATGATTACATTACTAGGCTCTCTTATCTTTTCCTATGTATGGACGTCTAGTAATACGAAACGTTTAATAAAATAAAAAATATAGGTACTTATCAATGACTAATTGCTTGCTATTGAAAAAGTTTTTATGCTATCGAAATTATGAAAACATTGAATGTCGCTCGTAGGTACACACGGCTACACATCGAACTTTACATAACCAGTATAAACTGAACGCTAAATGTGCGGAAAGATGATGCGACGCGACACCAGGATAAACTGGTTTTGTATAGATTGATGTGTGTGCGTATCTAATAATTTTTACCACTAAAACTTTTTTAAATATACTTACGGGGACATCAGGTCTGGATGGGTAGTGGAACTCAACGTTCTTCAGCTCGATGTTGCCCTCAATATTACTGGGCACTGTGCCCCTGTTCTGTAGGGGGTTGATAGTGGGGACATTGTCGATCATGTTGAAGATGTGCGCACCGGCTCCGCGGGCCGATCCGAACACCTCCATTAGAGTCGACGATATACCGAAGTTTGCTGAACCAGTCATTACACCGAAGAATACCTGGGGATTATATAAATTTTGTTACGTTTTTGCCTCTTCTCTCGGTAGTCAAAAGTCTTCACAGTTATTATAATCAAAATGTGCATGTTAATCTAAGTACTTCAAATCAAACTTCGATATAAATTACATATATCATTCATTAATATTCCGAGTTAGATACTGGTTCGTTAGATTCATACGTGCGTACCCAATGAAGTAAACTGTGATAACATCAAAATTTAATACATGTTTTGAGTACTAAAATACGAATATGATTTCATACATTAGCAATCAAAGAGCTTCAAACCTTTAAAAAGGAATAAAGTTATCCAATACCTAATAACTACACCCAATCACTATTATTACTAAGATAATCGAATATTAACGTATTAAGTTAATAGTTGACTTACAGCAATCATGGTAGAAACATCGTAATCGTCAGTTACCATCAATCTGTAACCGAACCAGAAGGAGAGTGCGTACGCGCAGAATATGCAGAAGAATAGGCAACCCATTGCCAGGCCGGCGAACAAACCTGAAAGAAGATTGTGTCATCATCACCATCTTCGTCATCATCAGCTGGAAGACGTCTACTGCTAGACAAAGGCCTGTCCCTTACAAAGATCATGTGTGAAGAAAAAAACTGTGCGCTTCTCTCGTAGCTTTCTGACACGCACAGTAATCTTTTTTATCTCCAAAGGGGTAGACGAAGGTGCATATTACGGCACTTAATGCCAGTGTACAATGTAACACCACTTTTCACTATTCATGTTATGAGTCCCATGTAATAGGAGGTGAGCCTATTGCTATATACCGGGCAGATTTCCAAGCTCCGTGCTACAACTGAGATTTAAAAAAACCCATTAATACTTTGCCTCTCCTGGGAATCGAACCCGAGCGAGACCCCTTGTCCGGCAGTTGCATTTTTGGAATATCGAGCCAATTTGTAACCTTATATTTCAGGTACCACCGAACTAAGTGTCAGGGCAGAACAAGAAACTCTTAAGTAAATTTTATCATTTGTAATCCCAGGGCGCCATGATTCTCTCCGTGGTAAATAAATTTAAACGACACAATGTTATACAGTAGAAATTTACTAGATTATACTTAATTTAACACACACTTATCTATGTAATTAAATTACCAATAAAGCCAAATAGCGGTACAAATATCATACATTCAGACGATGATCAGCTGATCATCAAATCATGCACCTTTAAATATATAACAATTATTACACATTACCCACTTATTTTTGTTAATTTTAATACAAATTTATCTGGAAGGAAGTGGGTAATTATACATATGTAACAAAAATTCCAATGATGAGGTAGTAAACTGGGCATTTCGCTTCTTTCTTAAATGTAAACCTAATGTAAGTTTGAACTACGATCTCCAAACAGCCTGCCAAGTGTCGGTAACTCCCATTTAAGTAAATGAGTCCAATAATTAACTGTCACAGATGGTTGATATACTGCTTACTCTCGCGTGGTTATACCGGCTCTGCTCTGTTCCTATTGATCGCAGAGCAATGTTCTATAGCCTAAAACCTTGCTCTATAAATGTACTATACAAAATAAAAATAATTTTTCATATGGAACCAGTAGTTCTAGAGATTAACGTGTTCAAACAAACAAACAAACAAAATAACTCTTCAGCTCTATACCTATAATAAGAAAGTATAAAAATATAAGGTGAACAATATGATTCCACTTACTTTTCTTAACATTGATCTTCCTAGCATCGTTGAGATGGCCTTCGTATCTCTCGAGCTCCTTCTCCTGGCCACTGAAGGCGTACACTGTCCTGATGGCAGAGATCACCTCCTCAGCGATAGCACCTGCTTTACCAGTCGCTATAGCTTCTTTCTTTGAAAGACTTGCAGCTATCTGTTGGGAAAATTTTATTTATCACCTTTTTGCTTTGTGTGATAAGTAATAACTGCTGAAGACATGACCACCATGACAAGTGTGGGAGAGCCATGCTTCGACACGAATGGGCCGACTTGACGGAGAAATACTACGAAAAAAAAATCACCAGTACACTCCGGTTCCTTGCCTCCAAGTGTAATATTAACACTTTATATTACTAGGTAAACAGAAACAGGAAGAATTATCATTGAAAACAAAATAACTGCGTGCGTCTCTACGGATTTGTCGATAGTAGGTAGTTAGGTACTTATTTATAAATCCTAATTATACCATATCAGTTATCACGATTTTCGAGTATCTATTTATTGACTTTTGGTATCAACTATCAGTTCTACACGGATCTAAACGACACAAATAATACAATGATGATAGTTATTTTTATTCCTTTATGATTATAATTGTATAATAGCTATTAATAATAATAATTAAAGCACCTATCTTATTAAGGTCATACGTACATTTATATTAACTATCATTGTTCTGAGATCGTTTTAATAAGGACCAGATTAGGGACCTACGATGGAACACGTTTGCTTATAATCCCTATAATACTTCAATATACCCAGGCTGTACCCTTCTGAAAATACAGACTCCGACAAAAATTCCACTCCTTACACAAATTAGATAAGAAAATTCAACTTACCAATCCAGCGACGCCCACAAGGGTCATAGTGACGGGGAACGATATGAGACACAGCAGAGCAAGCTTCCATCCCTTGACGAGCGCCATGATCACACTGCTCAAGAACGAAGCCTGGTAGAAGAAGAACGTCGCTAATTTCTCACCAATACCTTCTTCCAGCTTCATTATATCACTGAAAAGTATAAAACCTATTAATTTTCCAATACTTTTAATAATACGATACATACAAAAGACCTTCGAAAAATAAAATTCTATGTACCTAGAACTCGTTCTTCGTTACAACTTCATTGGGGTTTCGCTTGTGCTATTTGACGTAGGTAGGAACGTATTTTTAAACTTCTTAATTTCTTTATAGTCATCTGCCACTTTCATATCTGCACCACCGAAAGGTCGACAATGCCTAATGCATTAAGTTCACCTTCTTTTTTTCATTTTTATGGGACAAATATGTGCTTTCGACCTACATGTGTTTTTGACCTGTACATGTGCTTTTTGTACTAAGTCTAAATAAAATATACCTAATCTTAGCAGTAAGATAAGTAAACATATCATTAGAGATGAAAAAACTAATTTGAATTAACCGTACCTGTTCATTTTGTTAGCTATTTCTGCATTTTTATGAACATCAAAGTATCCAAAGTCCTGGTTTAGAGCTGCTTTCAAATACTCTTGACGTATTACGTATACCTGTAGGTGGAATAGAATTGCGTAAACACTTAGTATGAAATAATTTTACCTATCAAAATGCATAGATGCAAAGCTGTTATACGTAGACATGCTCTGTTAGCCTTGCATGAGATCTACAGACTACGATTAGATAACAAGTTTCAGAAAAAAATTAGAGCTTATCACTGAACTTGAAGTTGTAGATAAACGTGGTTCCCAAATAGGCGATTAATAAAACAACTGGGCTCGGTGACTGTGGGGCTCTCTTGGTTAACTTTAATTTAATCACCACCCATACTTTTTTCTGCGGGTGTCTTTGGGTGAATATTTAGCAGAGACCAGCAGCGTTCACTGATAAACCTGATCGTATTAAACTGCGATACCTAACTGGTTTACCAAGTGTGCAGATTATGGCAGACTCCATTCACGTAGAGGAGGCCTGTAGTCTAGTAGGACTCACGAATTGTTTTTGCTGAAGATAATAGTGACTGCCTCATTGGCCGAGTGGTCGCATGTGCGACTGCCGGGCAAGGGGTCTCGGGTTCGATTCCCGGGTCGGGCAAAGCATTACTGGATTTTTAAAAACCTCAGTAGTAGCACGGAGTCTGGAAACGTGCCCGGTATATGGCAATAGGCTCACCCCTATTACATGGGACTCATTACATAAATAGTGAAAAGTGGGTGTTACATTGTACAGTGGCATTAAGTGCCGTAATGTGCAGCTCTGCCTACCCCTTCGGGGATAAAAGGCGTGATGTTATGTTATGTTATGTTAACAGTGATCATAAAATAATATCTAAACATGATTTATGTAGGTATACGTACCTGGTTATAAGCAGCGATGTTCATCAACGTAGTGGCGGCGTAAGACAGAATCACAAGGGCCGCCCCGACAGCCGAGTTGTATATAGCGAAGTTTAATAAGGACTTCATAAAGGCATCACCATCAGAAAATATGCTGTAATTGACCATAGCTTCTAGCAAGTATGCAAGCAACAGCGTGTTTACAGGCGTAGAGACGGCGGCGACCGCTGAACATATTAACGCCGAGATTATGAAGATTTTGTCCCTTGTCGACGCGAATCTGAACTGAAAATTTCGTATTTGGATAAAAATAGGTTCTTTGAACGTAAATTAGTAAAACTATGGAGCATTTACCATTAACTTCCATATTAAAATTGAGAAACAATTTACAGATAAACCCGGTCTTTTCTTGTATTTTATTTATCCCATTATCATATTAGTGTTCTCTGTCGATTTTTTCAAATAAATTCATAAACTCAGTAAAATAACATTTTACTTAACGTACATTTTACCTATCTACATAAATATAATGTAACACAATCTAATTTCGCTTTTATTTTAAACAATAATAAGGTCCTTTGTTTTCTACGCACGTCTATGTTCAGCTGATAAGCTGTAATGGCTACATGGACATTCCATTTCCAATGTAGTCTACTAACGTCAGCAACAGCGCCAGTCATGGGTAGCAAGTTAATTAGACATCGTTACACTGCTCGGCTCGATCGATATGTATACTTAAGCGCCTTTACACACGGAAATGGACGAGAATGTACCCGTAATAGGTTAATTAACCCTAATTACAGATATTTTCAACAAAAATATGATGTTAGAGGGATTTTTATGGCACGGTTTAAATAAGTCATGTGTGCAGTATGGTTTGTAGATGACAATGGGTATCAAAAAACCTTGCATTCTAGAGGTAATGGCCGATTTTACAACCATCAGTTAACTTTCGTGAGACATACTAAATAAATTATTATGTTTTCGGCTTACTCACGTAATTAATTGACGAGGAACTCGACTAGTTTCAAGCCATGCTAGAGGCTCATATTCATGAGTAACATTTCGCGACCCTGTAACGCGGCGACTGTCGCGCTCATGAATCATGCTCATGCCTCTAGGATGGCTTGAACCTAGTCGAGTTCCTCGTCAAATAATTACGTGAGTAATTAGAAAACATAATAATTTACTATCAGTTAACTCTTAACTGTAGAATAAAATTTGCATTTTGACAGTTTTTAATATGAATGAATTGTCAAATATTCAAAATTATTTCTTAATGAAAACTTATCTGGCGCTGGGAAATTCGAATCTAAGTTAGAGTATTTAATTGCAATAAGTAATCTGCATACAAGAACTTTTGAAATGTCCTAAGAATTAGTAAAATGAATGTCTCATTTTCTTAACCTTTAAAATATAATTGTTTTAGTTCTCTTTATTAGCTACTTATATCAATTTACCTACTACTTCTAGAAAGAAATAAAAGGGCATACACAAAACGAAAATTGGAATAGTTCATACTTAGTAGATGACCTACGTAACTTGGTCATAGAATTCGAAGCAGACTACCTTCTACCGAGTATTAACTAGCATTGGCATACCCACAGAATATATAAAGAAGAATACTTGCTAGTTACTAACATACCTAATCTGACATGAAACTGTAATCAGTCAAACTATCATTATCTTTAGGAAATGTATACATTTCTATTTTATTCACAGCAATTTTTTTATTCAAATAAATACTCACTAGTGTAATGAAAGGTATACTTGGTACTTCCTCAGCTTTCGCATCTGATGGTTCCGAACTTCTGCAACAAAATGGAGACCATTATGAAGACGCAATAAAGGGTTTTAGAGCTGGTATACTTGGCCAACGTAATTAACAATAGTTGTGGAAAATAATAAAATAAGTTAATTTCGCCTACGCTTTAACAATTGTTCCAATGATAAAATGTGTATCGTAACTAAGTTTTCGTAAAGACATGTCTAATTTCAGATACAAAAAAGAAAATAATTCAAGGAAAACTATTCAAAAAGAGAAACAATTAGGAATAAGTTACGGTTATAATTGAGAAGTGATTAATTTATGGAACATAAGGCTACATTATTAATAATATTTATCTATTGATTCAAATAAATTTTCTTTTCTAAATGACAAACTGACTACACGTATATTATATTTAATCCTTTTTTCAGGAAAACTATCGTATCTAATTTAAAGGCGTCCTGAAAATCATTTCGCTATGCGGATTTGGTTTTATTTTAGATTTGTTTGCGAGTACGACGCGCCTGTGTTTATGAAATGTATCCCACGTGGTGTTTGCCGTGTTTGCCACAGTCTACCAAGGTCAGGATCAAGGCTAGAGGGAATCAAAATCGATTGTGCTACGTAGCTTGAATCTAGCTGTTTCATTTAGATTTTGCAAAGTTTTAATGTTCTGTAAATAAAAGTATTGAAACATTTTCCTTGAATAGTTCGCACAATAAAAATAATAACAATACTATCACTACTCAATATACGCTTATCTCCAATTATAATTTTATTTCGATAAAAGCACGTAAAACTTAAAATTTAGGTACCTAGACGGAATTTTATCTCGACATTTGTCATAAAAAATACCTCTACATGTAACCTTGCCATTATACGTCATATAGATACAATTGATTTGATGGATTTGTACTTTGGCGATCAGTAGTAAACTGGCGCCGCAATCCGGGTCTTTCGTAAAAATAGTTTGTTTTATTTTTAACCCATGGTTAAGGAATGGCTGAGACACGGCAGTATGAGCCAGTCTCGTGATGAGATCATATTTAATCAGTCCCGGCGAATTAGTCCCAATGTTTCATAATATTTAATTGCAATTGCGCGGAATATATACGTGTAGTATAGTATACATTATGTTACAACTGATGTGCGTCTGTATTGTTGATAATAGATTTGTTGATCAATTGAAGTAATTCACGCTCAGTGTCATTCGCTTCTAAGGATCCTACAGATTGCACTAAGAAAATATTTACTTGTTGGCTGATATTGTTCACGATATTCAACAGATTGTTCACATACAAATATGTAGTAACAAGGTAAACTTACGTGTCAGAAAACTGTCCTTTCTGTACATCTTCATTCAATGGGTCTGGTAATTTATTCTCATTCTCCTTTTCCCCTGGCTTCAGTTGCCACCCGTTTCCCTTCGAGTCCTTCATTTTGAACAATTAATTAACTGAATTATTCACACAACAACAGGCCACACTACAACTTCAGACAGCTACTGTGTTTAAAAACTCATTATACTAATTCACAATGAATTAAGTAAGCCGTATATATCTGCTGAAACGTTTATCCGTGGTCCTCCCAATCGCGACTAACGCATCCATGATACGTTATCAATTTATCAGGTCGATAAAACGTGAAAGGTGCTGTAGAACTGAAACTCGATTATAATAAAACAACGTTTGGTTTAGAACAGTGTAAGAGCGTCAATGGCCGACATGTTCCCTTGAAGCGTGGAAAGCTACAAATAGTTTGAAAGTCGGCGCGAAATAACGCGAAAGTTTGTTTGTTTTACGAAGCTCGTGCGGTTCCTAATGATCTTTACTTTGCACTCGTGAGTCACACAGGTAACTGTGAGTTATTCCTATGTATATCGTATTGTATATTGTTATACATAGCATAGCTATTGCTTTGCCGAACTACCTATATATGTTCTATGAAAGCTAAGCTTTAAACACTCAGACTTTATATTTTCATAAAGCACGATTAAGTAAGTCGGTAGTAGCTTGTGATTAGAATTGTCTTTTAAACAAGTAAGTAGGTAACTTTGCTATCAAATCGTATGTGGGTCAGAATCTACCATGAAAATACTAGCTATCACTAATTAGCTTCGCGACAACAAAAGCGCACTCGAAACAAAACACTACAAATATTAGGTACAACAAATTATTATACAGTTGACATATTATTACGTTTGTGTTTATTTTATGTCATCGTTGCTACGATACGATGCGACGATTATTTCCTACGAATACGATTAATCAAGATTACGTTTTTATTGTAACTTTTATCATAATGCCTTTATAATTGCTTATGTAGGTATATTCTAGAAGTAATTTAAATATATTCTTGTAGAAAATATTCGAGAAGATGCTTCAGGAACATCACAAAAAGATAGGCCTTGGTTGCTACGAGTATACGGTACCGGTTGACCGCGCCGTAATTTTATCGATTACTTATTGCGTAAACAGCTGGCTTTATGTTGCGAGTTCGAGCTTTAGGCCGGTCGTGAACGAGAAATAGGGCGAAGCGTGAAGTTTGAATGTTAAGTAATAACTTCTTGACATCTTATTTTGTTAATAGCTTTTCTTGAGGGGGAAATATCATCGAATAACTTCTCCAGCCTTAGGTTAGGCGAGATTGTTCCTATTCCTGCTCTTCGAGCCGAAGCCCCGGCCAACCTTAGAAGTTAGGCCTTCCGTGGCTCCAGGAGTAATAGCTACGTGAAAGACTGATGTCTACCTACAGGTTATTTACAGTGTTATCTATTTAGAACTTAGTAAGTATTTATTTAAATGTGGATGTGAATGACTTCTGTAAAGGAAAAGTCGAGCAGAAGACACCTATATTGTGCATATTTGTAGCAAAACGTCAAAAAATAAAAGAAATACGAAGATGCTAAAAACATAGCAGCAAGCAAACGCTTACGTAAATAAAGACGTCTGTCGCCGCGTCCGCGCACGATGCTCATGCGGAAGAGTCCTACTGTGACTCGAAACTAGTAGAGCTTGTCTTAGTATATTTACGTGAGTATACCGATATTTTTAGTTAATTTAGTATGTCTTATGACAGTTATTATAAAAGTGCCAAGATGCATTATACATCAAGAAATGCAATTACCTACACGTTTAACAATTTGAGCATCCACGTTGTGCAGCAGTTAGAAACCCAGCCATAGATATAATTATTTCTGTGAACCAGCAACTATTGCGCAAATATATAAGCATGCTAAGGTAGGTACATGTTTTCCAATATTCTAGGTAAAAAGTAGGGTGAGGTCTACGTTTAACTAGCTTTGATTTATATCCAAAATAAGTAAACAATTTAGAAAAAAATGCAGAATTATTTTTTGGGCCAGTAGGTTAGAGGACGACTTAAAACTATTTGTTTTCTTTATCTAAAGTTCTAAGGCATAAGTTCAATTGTTTACTAAAATATGCACAATGTAATGTAATGAAGTTAACGGTACCTACCTAGGTAAGTATAATAACAGTACAAGCACCTAACAAAAAATACGTCATCAAACTTCTAAGAAAAATCTGAAAAATGTCACCAATACCTTATTATTCCAAATTTAAATTATCTTGTATAAAAACGAATGAGTGACCAATGACAATGTTCATTATGCCAGTGATTTATGGCGCACCGCTATTCTCGTCAGGTTCAGTCACGGTGGGCCACAAGTTTCACTGCACTATTATTTCGCTCACTCTGTTTTGTAAACAACACGTTGGGTGCATCATTCCTCAGAATTCGTACATTGTGCAGCCCTTTTTTCACTTCCACGACAATTTTGTCAATGCCCTGTTACATTTTAGTTGGGCGTAACTAATGCTTGAGTGACACATTTCCTTTAAATTCCGGTTATTGATTGAATAGTTTGCTTTATTATTATTTGTCCCATGTCCCAATGAAAACATTATCTATTGTGCCATAATTTATTACTTGTAAAGTCTTTATCTTTTATTCTTTGTAATGAATTAGTACCTAAGTTTTTAAACAGTAGCCAGTTCTATAAGGCAATAAAATGAAAGGACAAAGTTAGGTAACTTTGGCAACTTTTTAAGTAGTAACAACTTTAAAAAAATGAATTATGTGGGTCACGCTAAGTTCAAGTTAAGTCTTACCTTGTTAGGTGTCGTATTAGTGCTCGTTGGTATTAACCGGAACCGTTCCTCCAGGCTCCCAGCTTCCACCATGGCTCTTTTCTTTGGCATCTCCATGAATGTTAACATAACCCGAGGCTGAAACATTTTGACTAAATACACTGCACGACTCACTGAGCAACGGCCACTCCTCGCAAATCATTAAACTAACTAACAATATACTCGCAAAATGATTGTGCTCATCAAATTGTATGGACTACATGGGATTGGTATGAATGTGTCTGTATGGTTATACATGGTTCCATGTAGGTACCTACCTATAAAAGTAAGTACGTAGATGTTCATAACAGTACCAAATACGACAAATCATTCATTATGTAACTTCGTATGTTTGTTGCGTTACCCAAAGGAAATGTGATGCGATATTTACTTAGGTAAAAGTAAGTGAGTACTATTTTAACTTTTAACTAAAGTTCAAACATAGGACTCTACCTATTTTACCTACTTTCCCGCTGTAAAGATTTAGCTACCTACTTAAACATACTGTATGTAGTTACCTAGTGCATTTGTGTGTGTTATGAATTGTCTTCATGTTATTTGTCAAGGTTTTTACGTCTCGCGAATGATTCGTGTGAAATCATGCGTCTTTATCTAACCTTGACTAGGTACGCGACATTCTTAGCACGTCAGTACTAAAACTAAGCGTTCCGAAGGCCGAGACTTACTACCAAATACTCAATGTCTTAATAAGATGCGCATCTTTAAGCCCTCTGACGTCATAAGCCTGATGTAAAATTAGGGGGAATATTATTAGTGACGTCATATCTCGGTCATCTGTTTACCGGTCGTGTCAACAACCAAGCAATTTATAACACAGTGATTTATTCGTGATAAAATGAAAAATACTATACTAAATTAACTTTTAGGTACGTCATTTTAGGTAACAAGTTCAAGAAGTTTGATTTTAGTTTTGTTTAAGTTTAAACTTTACAGAACGTAAATAAGTACCTATATAAAACGCGATCAATGAAATGCCTACATATCTAAATACATTGTTTTTAAAAATAATCAGCATAATATTTTTTATGCGAATACACTATATTGATAATTAAGTAATTTGATTTAAATAATAGACAATCAAATGACTCACGGCCAGTCACGGCACCATCCGGACCATGGAAGAGGCGGGAGAAGTTCAATGTCAAAGGCTAAGATTCGTGGGGTTGCCACCCCTATAGAAGTGATAACAGAATATTTTGGCAAATGAAGACTCTCTTTTTATAAACGACCTTTTTAATTTATTAGTAGTCTTTTGTTAAATTAAATGCATTTTATGATACCCAAAATGCAATTTCAGTTGAATTTGGCGAGTGTTCGTATTGTATTTTCGAGCAATAAAAAAACAATGGGCAACCCAATTTTGAATGAATGAAAGTGAACATTGAACTGCTAACTTGATGAGGTTAAGTTCAATGAACTTCAAAGAAAAGTTTGTTGCGAGGATTCAAGGAGAATACATGAATAAATAAACATTGATAATACTAAATTAAAAAAATAGGTTCATTTATTGTGCGTAAGTATTTTCCTAGTTTAATATTTTTGTTTATAGTTGATAGCTCTACCTCTTTATAGTTCTTATCAATAAATTAATTATAAGTCTGGGTCAGTGGCTCATCTTAGGGGCAGATCAATTACTAAGTACATAAGTCCTAATAACTGATGATTATTCAAGTACCTACTTCATTGATGTGAAAACTTGAAATTCGATCTTACTGTGAGCAGTAAGATGGAATTTCAACAACCACATCTCATGTTAAATTATGTACCTACACATAAAACTTTGATTACCTAGTGTAACACTCTACTTGTATACTTTGTAACTATGATACATAATAATATTTTTGTAACTATAAATATTATTATACCCTTATACCTATATACTTGCTTATTATAATCAAGTAACAATTTAAAATACAAGTTTTACAATGCTTATTTCTAAAATACTTTTGTAAAATACTGTTCACAGACTAAACGGACTTGGTGATGATAGCCGGAGTAAGGAATAAAGTGATTCTATTTTAGGGACAGAGTTAATCTTTAGTTCTATTTGAAACACCTATCATGTAAACATGATTTTAGAAGTACCTTTTACATTAATGCAAAATTAATTCATTATAATACCTACTTATATATTTTGTAAGTCTTTTGGTTGACTGGTCTTAGGTACAAATAATGGTAGTTTCACTGACAGACAGACTGACGGACTAGTATTTATTTTTATTTTATATTGTTAATGTTTCAAAAGTACCAAATTATGGTTCAATTGAAATAAATGCTTTTGAGTTTGAATTTGAATTATGCAGTGGTACCTTGATAACAATAAACACCATATTAAACTGTCAAACACCGAGCGGTCACCGGTGACCGCAACCTATTGTTCTTTAATTGTGTCTATAATGACGGTACTCAACGAGTTAAGTGTGACTTCAATTCAATTTTCAATAACTAAAGCAGTAAGTATTCATACTCTGTTTCTAATTTAATTCACAATAATTAAAATGAATACTACAACATGTGTACTACCTACACCTGCTGATGTAAATATTATTTTTCTAAATTGTTCATGCCTACCTACTTAATCGGTCCAAATATTGAGTGTGAGTACCAATTTTAAGCAATACAATCCGATTATGCTTGATAGTAAAATAATAACACTTAATGGTTATGATAAAAGTAATTTATTAATTTTATTTTCTTAGATACAGGCCTGTAACTATTTTAAGAGGTATAAGATAAAACCTAAATTTTATTTGTTATAAGTAATTTGTCATTGGTGAGACATAAAGTAATTATTAAGTTTGACACTGGCAAAATGGGCAACTACTAAATAGTGGAGACTCAATTACCATAAAAAAAGTATTTTATTATTCATGTTTCCAAAAAAGTTTAGAATTCACCGGTGACTGTAATTTAAAAAAAACTGAATTTTAGCTGTATTTTAATAGCTGTAATTAGGACTTATTATGATTGAATTATTGTGCAATAAAGAAGCAACTTAAATCTAGTACTGAGTTGATACTAACTAGGTTGATTGTTTTATTATCTTTTATGGAATTTACTTGGATCTAAAAGATAAGCCAAACTTGTGTGGCTAACTAGGTCTTTAAGAAGGAAAAGTGAATCAATGAAGAATTATTTTGTTTATTATGATTAGTTTTACAATTACCTACATATATTAATTATTCTTATAAATTTTCAAATATGTTTTTGTAATATAACAAATAAGGTTTACAAACGGACTGTTGCCTTATTTCATTGATAAACCTGGTGATTGGAAACTAAATCATGTACTTAGAAAATGTTTGTTAAGATCAAAATTTTATAAAGAGATTTTGAGGACTTATATTTAAATTATGCTTGTTATTCCTGTGTAGTTAGACCTTAGTCATACTTAAGATAGAAAGCTATTGCATAATAAAATTGTGGTGTATTGGTTGTTGTTGCCCAACACAGCCAATAAATAAAATGGTACCACAACATAGGACCACAAACAATCAACAAAAAAGGTCCAGTACAAAGTGTAACGAAGTTGTAAGATTTATTATTATTACAGCCAATAACAATCATTGAGTCATACAGCTATGACAGCTGCGTACGCGCATAGTTGTGAAGGATCATTGACGGCGCGCGGTGACTCGCGCCGCGGTGGTCGCGACCACATATAGAGATCTCCCGTCGGCGCACGCGCTCTCAACGAATGAGCATTTATGATGGCTAGATGTGCAAATTCTATACCAAATGTAGACGATAAAAAAGGATTTAAATAGGGCTGAAATTGTGGTCTTTGTACATAAATGGATTATGCGACAGCTGTCTTGAATGTAAAGACTCAATTATTTGGAATATTTTTCTTCTGATTGTTGTAACTAATTGGTGGTTTACATTATGTAGATAGTGCTAAATTTAACTAAGTAGGTAATTAGGTAGGTACTCGAGAGTAGCTCAAGAATGCTATGAATGGAAAAGGTTGGAGGAGTCCTTTGCCGACCGGCAAACAGACCTCCAGAAAATAAGCGTGTAATAGGTATTTTATAGATACTAGACTTAAGTACCTAATGCAAATCTTGGGCAATTCTAAATTATGTAACAGTTATAAGTTGGATCTGAATAAAGGGCTATTTTATTTTATTTTACAGGTAGGTACCTACTCAATGACCCTGATATAGGATTCTAGAATGAATTGCAATTTTTGTGCTTTAAGGTTCGACCCCTAGAGTCAGCAAGCCTGGAGTTTCCCTGAGGACACGGTGGAACACACAGTGGGAGAATGCCCTGCGTGGGCTGAGCACCGCCGTGCCCTCAGGGAAGTGATCGGCGATGGCGACCTCTCGCGTCCGGGCCTAGTGCGGGCCATGATGCGGAGCGAGGGGGATTGGGATGCCGTCTCCTCCTTTTGCGAAGCAGTCATGCTAGCTAAGGAGGAGGCGGGACGCGTGAGGCAGCGAAGCGCTGCCTCCTCGCAACCCAGCCATCGCGAAGGACACACCGGGCGTCGGGGATCGCGGGACGATCTCCGGCCACCGTAAGCGCGGGCCTGCGGACGGCGAGCATGGGTGGCTCCCCGTCCGACCAGAAACAGACCCGAGCGTACGGCGCGTCGCGTTCCGCGCGCGCCTCAAAGAGCCATCAGACCACCACAGATGGGGCCCAATAGGGCCGATGCCGATTCGGAGTCGCGGAGAACCTAACGGGTAACCGGGGCTCCGGCTCGACGTGCAGGAGAAGGAACGGGGTGGTTTTTAGTCAATAAGAGTCTGACACTCCCTCCCGCCTCACCCAGGCGGGAGAAGTCATTCGATGATTTTCCCCCCTTAAAAAAAAAAAAGCCTGGAGTTTCTCGTAGTTTCACTTAATTATTTAAGACAAAGTTGTATAGATGGATGTTTTTTTCAGGAAATTCACTTTAAGTTAAGTTAAGCAATGTTGTCTTATAACACAATCTAAAGATTTTAATATGTGATTAATACCAGATTGCTCTAGTAAGTGCTAATATACCTATGGATTTTTGTAGTTACATACTTATTTTATTTTATTACTTAAGTAGACACTACACAGATCTAATGAATTGTATACTTTTTACAATCTAGCGAGGTCCTTCGCCTGGGGTAGAAGAAGACTGTCATACTTTTAACTGTTTAAATCACCTTAGTGTTTTTAATAC